CAGCAATGGGGACACCAATGGGGACACCAAGGGGACATCAATGGGGCTACCAAGGGGACAGCAATGGGGACACCAATGGGGACACCAAGGGGACAACGATGGGGACACCAAGGGGGACCACCAGGACATCAATGGGGCTACCAAGGGGACAGCAATGGGGACACCAATGGGGACAGCAATGGGGACACCAAGGGGACAGCAATGGGGACCACCAGGACAACAATGGGGACACCAAGGGGACAGCAATGGGGACAGTGAGGGGACACCGCCCCTGGGGGGGACAGTGGGGACAACAATGGGGACACTGAGGGGACACCAAGGGGGACACCAAGGGGACAGCAATGGGGACACCAAGGGGACACCAATGGGGACACCAGTGGGGACAGCAATGGGGACAGCAATGGGGACACCAAGGGGACACCAAGGGGACACCAATGGGGACACCAAGGGGACACCAAGGGGACACCAAGGGGACAGCAATGGGGACACCGAGGGGACAACAATGGGGACACCAGGACAACAATGGGGACACCAAGGGACAGCAATGGGGACAACAATGGGGACACCAATGGGGACACCAATGGGGACACCAAGGGGACAGCAATGGGGACAGCAATGGGGACAACAATGGGGACAACAATGGGGACACACTGGGGACAGCAATGGGGACACACTGGGGACAGCAATGGGGACACCAAGGGACAGCAATGGGGACACCAATGGGGCCACCAAGGGGACAGCAATGGGGACACACTGGGGACAGCAATGGGGACACACTGGGGACACCAAGGGGGACACCAAGGGGACAGCAATGGGGACAGCAATGGGGACACCAAGGGACAACAATGGGGACACCAGTGGGGACAGCAATGGGGACCACCAGGACACCAATGGGGACACTGCCCCTGGGGGGACAGCGAGGGGCAGCAGTGGGGACACCGGTGGGGACACCAATGGGGACACCCTCAGGGGGACACTGGGACACTGCTGGGGCCACCGTCCCTGAGGGGACACCAAGGGGACACCAGTGGGGGGCTCTGGGTGGGGTTTGGGAGAGATCCCAGGGATGGGACCACTGGACTGAGCCAGGTTCTCCTGGACAAAACCAGGTTCTCCTGGATCAAACCAGGCTGGACCAAACCAGGTTCTCCTGGATCAAACCAGGTTCTCCTGGATCAAACTGGGTTTTCCTGGATCAAACCAG